CAGGTAATACACATAATGTTGCCATTTCATTGTTGACTCTTGGAAGGACTCTGTGAGCCGAGAGTCTGTATGTTTTGCTTTTCTTTGTATTGTGTGCCAAGGCGATTTTTTGGAGATGGAATTATGTAGCGTGAGTTTCTTGTAAAAAATGTCTTACACGCCGCCTGTGGCGGAGAAGGGCGTGGTCTGCGAGTTGAGTTAAGAGATCTCGTGCCTGGTTATGCCAAATTACTATTGTGTTTTCTTTTTGGTACATTTTGTTAATCATTTATTAAATGTTAATTGATTTTATTGTTTACGTCTGTTGTATTTATTTGGTGGATGAAATAACATGAGAACACCCGTCCCCCAGCTAGTAGGGTGGGGGCTCACACAGATGGTAGCAGACCGTGGTTTGGTTCAGGCACTCGCAGTGGTAGTTTTTACTTCTGGTGCCTGAGTGTGACTGGGCACCGACTATTAGTTGGGGGGAGTGTTCTTGTTTTGGGGGGGCTGTGTTTAATATGTATTGCCAACTTATACCCGAATTCTGACCGTTTCATGACGTCATCATGCCGTCGGCGTGGATCCATTCACTGTCGAAGCAAGAATCCGAACGCTTGGCGATCGAATTGGGCGTCTCTGTGGATGGGACCTTAGACGACTTGCGGAAGAGATTGAAGGAGAAATGGAGTTCGCTGGAGCCACACCTGCCTTCTCAGTTAACAGCTAAGTCCGAACTAGCCATGGGTGCCGCGGCATCTGGTGGTGATGGTACGATGAATGCCGGCATTCCTGTTCAGGTCTCTTATGTGCAGGCCAAGATGAGGGGTAGGGTGGTTGGTGATTTGGTGAGGAATATTCCCATGTTGTCTGGTACTGACCCCGAGAGCGTGCTGCATTTCCTTATTCGGGCCCAGGAGGTCTACGACCTGAACTTGGTGGGCGATCTGGATTTTCTGGCGCTGTTGGTGGGCAGAACTTCCGGGAGGGTCACCCAGATCCTCGGTCTCCATTTGGGAACCTCTTCCAGGTGGAGAGTGGTTAGTTTCGAAATCTCCTCTACCTTCCTTCCTCCACGCATTCGGGAAGAATTTCTGTCTAAGTATGTGTTGTGGCGCTTTCAATCGCCAACAGAGGAGTTGACCGAATTCATTATGTCAGTGGTAGCGACTGCGCGCTTTCTGAGTTATAATGGGTTGCTCGGCGTTATAACATACTGAGAAGGGAGGCGGCGTTTCAGGTGGGAGACCTGGTCCTGGTACGTCTCCNAGGTCGAAAACCTCTACCACTTCTGAGTTGCATGCCTTGGCAAGTCATGTCGCTGAAGCGAGAGCCATTGACGCTCAGAGGCAGGGTGATGAAAACCAGGCTTTCGCCGGAGCCTCTCGGTCAGCGGGGCGTGGCCCGCGTCAAGTTAGTATGGCGATAGACCAGACTCGACCAGTGCGCAATCGGGGAGTGGTTTGTTGGAAGTGCTCGGCGAGAGGCCATCTAAAAAGGGACTGTCCATCTTCTGTTCCCTTGCCTTCAAGTAACCAGGGAAACGAGCAAGGCGCTCGGCAGTAAAACCATCTGCTAGAGTCCGAGCGCCGAAAAGAACCGCGCCTCGCTCAGGAATTTCGCCGGTACGGACTGCTGGAAACAATCCGTGGGTTCTTCTGACGATTAAGGGGTATTGTTTACCAGCGATTTTGGATTCAGGTTCCTCCT